GCCTGCTGGACCGCCTGCGGCGGCCGGGATCCGCCGGGATCCGCCAGGATCAGATCTGCCAACGACAAGACGGCAGGCGGCCATTTGTGGCGGAAGGCGGCCGCCCTCTGTGGCCGCCTACGGCTGACGGAGACCGGCCACCGACCGCTGTCGGCGACGAGGACGGAAGGCGGTCGGAGAGAGGCGGAAGGCGGCCGCCTGGTTGGCCGCCTTCGGGGAAATTTTTCCTATAAATTGCCCGATTTTTGCTGAACTCAAACACACGAATTTCAAGCCCAAATCAGATAAAAAAGGGCGTCTTCTTCCTCCTCAAAGCTCAGATTTCCACCATTGTTGCACCTTCAACTTCAATCTTTCATATCTTTCTCATTTTAGCTCCAAATTGTGAGTCCTTTATATGTATTTTCATCCTTTCAATGAGTAGAATCTGAATCTGTACTTAGTTTTTTCTATCTGTGCTTCTAAAATTTTCAGAAAATTATTCCACTATTTCGCATTTTCTTCTTAAATTTGAATAAAATAGTTGTTGACATTAAATCCATTCCAATTAATTATATAGTTGTTTACTAGCCTCAAGGTAGTTATTTATCAAAACAAAGTTAATTTTTACGAAGTAGAAGTAAATTTTAATTAATTCCGGCATTTAGTTGTTATTATTGCATAAATTAAATTAAATACTCAAAAAGGAAAAAAAATTAGTTTCTGTCCTAATTCTAGTTTAATTCACAGTAATATCACTCCCAGTAGTCAATATAAAATTTAGAACGAATTTAAAATAATTTTAGTTGCTTTTTGCATTTTCTAGTTAAATTTGGGAAAATTATCAATTAGTTGTTAAAATTGGATTTTAGGTTCAAAAATTCGTGAAAAATTCCAGAAAGTTATACTTCAGTTTCTACAAGTTTATTGTTCCAGAATATAAGTTTTGCTATCATCCATGTTTAAGTCCTTGTTAATGTTGAATATATTCATTATATTGTTAGTTGTTAAAATGATCTTTATTAGCTAAATTTGTTTAGGGCATGAATTGAGAAAAGGAATATGGATTGACTTGTTGACCTAAACTTAGGGGTTAAAATTAATAAATTGGACTAGTTGTTTAAAATGATGAAATAGTAATTAATAATAGTTAGCCATTTTCATTAATTAAATTCTTGGAAAATTAATTCTAACTTGTCTATGAGATTAGAAATTAATTTAAGCCAACCATATTTGAGCACATTAATAAGGCCTAGAAATAGGATAATTTAATGAAAAGGATTTACATCTTGTCTATGAGAAATAAATTCAATTGCTAAAATAAAGAGGTTAACTAGTTAATGAATTTGGCTATTTTTATTAATAAAAATATTGGAAAATTATTTCTACCTTGTCTATGGGTTTAGAAAATAATTTAAGCCAACCATTTTAAACACATTAATGACACCTAGAAATAGGATAAATTAATGAAGATAGTTTCTATTCTTGTCTATGAGGAAAGAAATTATTAGTCCAACTTTAGTCTTAATTTCCCTAATTAAGAGGTCCAAGAACATATCCATTTCTAATTACTCAATTCATTGCCCTTATTTGCATCCTTGAATATTCAATCTTAATACATTAATCTTTAAATTGCCCTTGCTCCTAGTTATAAATTAGCATAATATTGAACAAAATCACTTCCTATATTGAAAAAGCTTCCAACGATTAGCGATAGCCCGTGACTAAAATTAAATTAAGAAACTTCTCCGCCATTCCTCAAGAGACACGACACTCGGGGAAAAACCGAAAGGTTAGACTCCGTTTTACTACAACGCCGCGAAAGTGGTTATCAGCGGGTAATGCCAAATAAAATGGAACCGCCGGTTCCATTGTACGGGTCTGTCCGGTCCGGGTATTGCAATTTTGAATATAAGAACCGGACCTTACCCGGCCCGTTTGAAACGGATCAATCCGGTTCGGGTTTTTCGGTTCCTGTTTGTATTTCTTAAAAATAGTAACAATTTTTGAAGTTCCAAAAAAGTAATAATACGGAGTATAGGGCATTGGAAAATCTCAAAATAACAACATACTCAACAACGTGCACATTTAACACAACTACACAAGTGACATGTCCTAGTCGATAGCTTCATATATTTAAGTTCCAAACATTCAAAGAAGTTCCAAAAATCAGCAACATAATCACTGTTAAGTTCCTAAATCACAACATCAAAGGTCCAAAATAACAACATAGTAAACCTTCAAAGAGTCCTAAATGGCAACTTCAAAATAACAACATAGTTTACCTTCAAGTTTGTTATATTAGTAATATAATTATCACAATTTTACTAGAATAATAATTTTAGTAAAGGTTATAGTTGTAATTTTACTAGAATATAATTATCAATTTGTAATAGTTGTAGTAGTCTTATTGTTTCCTATTCTCAAGAGGTTTTCTATTCCTACAGATTTAGGAAACTAGTTAAACTAGTGAAACTAGCAAAAAATTAACTTCATCCCCACGCATAAAATTGAACTTCACAAATAATTTAAATTCATCACAATGCATAAATTAGTTGTAAATTACTATACACTATACATAATGGGCCGGGGTGGGTACCCAACATTTTTCGATATTGGAACCGGCCCGGGTCTTTAAAAAAAATTACCTGACCATACCCGGACCGTTTTTTAACAACAAAAATTGGAACCAGCCCGTTTTGAGAACGAACCGTCATTACCCAGACCGGATCGCGGTTCCAAGACCCGTTTGCCCACCCCTATTTTATATATGTATTCAGTTAGGTAAATTGGTGTGTTTAATCAGAAAATAAAGAAATTTAAACAAAAAAATAAATAGTCAAGAAATGAGAACTTAGCGTATTCTAATTGAGAAATACACTCTCCATGATATTTGGACACGTGTACGTTTTTATCTAATGGTGTTCTTGCCTATTGATAATCATCCTTATTAAACTTCATAACGATTTTATTAATGTAATGAGATTGACTTAGCACAAGACCGTTCAGTCCCCTAATTTTATTAATCCCGAGGATTAAACCAGTCAGCCTCATATCTTCCATGTCAAATTTAAAATCCAGCATGCTTTTGATAGAACTAATCATTAGATTATTGCTACTAATGATGAGTATATCATCTACGTATAAACAAAAATGACATATCCATCTACTATGCTCTTTACATAGACGCATTTGTCACTTTCGTTTATTTTACACCCATTGATTAACATCACATGATCGAACTTTTCATGCCACTACTTAGGGGCTTGTTTCAATCCATACAATGACTTAATCAATTTACACACTTTCCTTTCTTCGATAGGAACAATAAATCCCTCAGATTGTTACATATAGTTTTCTTTGTCTATATCGTCATTTAGAAAATCAGTTTTTACATCTATTTGATAAACTTCCAATTGCGGCAATGGCTAATATCATTCTGATGGAGTTTATTCTCGTTACCGGAGAATACGTGTCAAAGTAGTCTGACCTTATACTTGTCAAAGGAACCGTCGTGTTTCATTTTCCTTTTAAAAATTCACTTGGATCCCAAAGGTTTACATCCCGGAGGAAGATCAACTAGTTCCCAAGTGTGATTTTGTAGGATAGAATTTACCTCACTTTTGATGACTTCTTTCCACATTAGACCTTCAGTAGACATCACAGTTTCTGTATAAGTCTGTGGCTCATATCCTACAAAACATGTTAGAAAATCCAATTCTTTTTTACCATACAAGTTAGAGTCTCTAAATCAAATTCAACCAAGTAGGTAAGAAAATATGGCCAGAAGGATTTATTTATTCTAGTATGTTTGCTACATCTGGATTCAGCTTCATACTCAGACCCATCACTTTTATTTTCCATATCTACTTCAAACGTTCGTTTTGACATACTTGGTCCTTCGCTGGACCTACAAAGAAATACACATTCAGAAAGTGATGCATTCTTTGATTCAATTATCGTGTTTTTATGTCCATCCAGATTATTCGAATCGTACACTGAAAACCGATAAACACTATTATTGTGTGCATAACCAATAAAAATACAATAAATCATTTTGGACCAATTTTTATTTTCTTAGGTGCTGGTACAAGTACCTTATTTTTGTGGCATACCCGAATTTACTAGCACATTCATCATATCTTTCAGTGTGCAATTCTTTCGTTAGGCAACACCGTTTGATTGAGGTGAATAGGGTGCAGTACGTTCATGTACTATACCCACGCTCGCGCAAACACCAATTGGCGCTTCATAGTCACCACCTCGATCACTTCTAACTGTTTTAATCCGTTGATTAAGTTGGTTTTCCACTTCATTGTTATAAAGAATAAATTTATCGATTATTTCGTGTTTATTTTTTAACAAATAAACATAGCTATAGCGAATGCTATCATCAATAAAAGTAATAAAATATTTATTATCACCACGTGTTTGTATTGATTTAAAATCACAAACGTCACTATGAATATTAAGTGTTTCTGTTTTTCTTTCAATCTATTTGAAAGACATTTTCATTAGTTTTGTCTCAACACAAATTTCACATTTGTTCTTCACATCAATTTTGAATTTTGGAACATGTTTCATGTTAACCAATCTACGTATAGATTCAGAATTAACATGTCATAGTCTATCATGCAATTTAGGAATGTATGTATATATGTATGTATCAAAGTGCAACGATAGTGAAAAGGGAGAATGGCTTTTCTCGGTGCAATTTCTCCAAATCATCAAGTTATTCAACTTTTTACTCTCACACAGTTGTCTTCATGGTATTTAGTTCCTCCTTCCCCCAATTAAGATCATGGTTTGATTTCACACATAGTAAGAAAATAAATTTGACTTTACTATAGAGTGCATTGTTTTGTACTATTTAAATACTGTTTGGACATTGTTTGACACTGTTTTGCACTATTTGGCATTGTTTTGATGTAGATAATTTGCTAAATAAGAAAAATATTGAAGTGTGGACTTAATTTAGGGACTGCCCGAAAAGGAAAATGAGAACTTAATTGGGGGACGGAGGGAGTAATATTTTTGTCAACTCATCACAGGTGAATAAGAGACTTTGTCCATTGGAAGCAAAAATTAATACCAATATCTCAATTGATAACATAACACACTTTACTACAAGACTTCATAATTTTTTTTTATCATATTATGACTACGCATTAAATGATATACTTATCCATCCCTAACATTTCGTATTCATTTAGATAAACCCTTCCATAATCCCCTCGTAAATACACATCATTATCTTTACGAGTATATATCATTGAGGAAAAAACGGAACAATTACGACTAATTCCAATAGATTTGGAACCCAAAGCTCGAAGCGACTCAAATTCCATCGCGTAAATAATTCCGTCTAACGAAACTTCCTGGAAGCTCACTATGGTTTCCTACTCTCCTCAATCCTCTCCCCCATTTAACTAACCCTCTTTTCATTCTCCCCAGTCCACGCGCATTTCCGCCCGTCTCCATTGCAATGAAGCTCATCAAGAGCATCTCCAACCCCAAGAAGCTATTCAAGTCCAAATTCGGCCGCCTCATTTCCAGATCCGACGACCCCACCTCCATCAGCTCCGGATCCGCCTCCGGTTCCTCCGATTGCCCCATCGGATCCTCCAAAAAGCCCCAAACCCCCACCAGCGTCCTCCCCGGCGAGTTCCACGCTGACGTCTACAGCGAGCTCGTCCAGGCGTTCAATCTGATCGACCGAGACGGCGACGGGAAGATTCAGAAGTCAGAGCTGGCCGCTCTGCTGAATCTGTTCGGAGCAGAGCCTCCCAGCGAGGAGGAGATCGACACGATGATGAGCGAAGTCGACAGGGACGGCGACGGGTGCATCAGCCTGGAGGAGTTCAGGGCGCTCCGGCCGGCCTTCGCGCCGCCGGCTTGCGGCTCGGAGATGCGTGACACGTTCGATTTCTTCGACACGAACGGCGACGGGAAGATCTCGGCGGAGGAGCTGTTTAACGCGTTGAAAACGATCGGGGATGGGAGGTGCACGTTAGAGGAATGCCAGCGCATGATAAGAGGAGTCGATCAGAATGAGGATGGGTTTGTCTGCTTCGAGGACTTTAGCCGTATGATGGAGCTGCGGATATGATTGGCCATCGTATGCACGTCATGATCTAGCTTCATAGCTGCTCTTGAATAGCATGATAAATACTCCACTATATATAGATTCGTCTTTCGTCATGCTGTGTTATTACTCCATATATAAAGTTTATTTATTGGTTTTAAATTAGTGGAAATAGAATAAAATTATTCTATCCACATAATCTTCCCTCCCAAGATTCTCAAATTTCACTTTTCTTACTCAACTCAATTTCATTTGATCCGCTAATTTGGAGTATTGCAATCTTTTATAGATTTGATTTTTGCCATTTAATAGAACTTTTATCCTAGTTTTTAACTTGAAAATTGTAACATTATGGGGGTGTTTGGTCAAGAGTCTATCAACCATTTTTGGCTGGTTTGACTATTTTTACTGTTTGACCACATGAATCAGTTATTGATATGTTTGGTAAATGACTTTTTTCATGTAACCTTTTGTGTCAAAAAGCCAAAATAGAAATCGTCTCAAGCCCTCAAACCTTAGCATTTTGCTCTGCGCATATAACCAGTTCTATCGTATGGGAGCTTGAGAAGGGTTCCCGTTTTCTCCATGTCTTATTATGAATTACGGAGTATTTTCCATGCAATTGTTGCATTCACTGATTCACTTATAAAATGGTTAAAAAATTATTACTTGACCTACTGGATTTTACTTTTTAGAAAATAAAGATGGTTTAACTAGTTATATGGATAAAATCAAATAAAAAATATACGATAAGTATTTTTTTAAAGCAATATACAATAAGTATATAAAATTAAATACCACATCCGTCCCTTTTTTATTGGGAGTTTGGGACGGAAGAGGGTGACACGAATTTTAAGAAAAGTGGGTTTGTGTGGCTGATATTAGTTGATAAAGTAAGAATAAAGTAAGAATGATTTTGAGCCACACAAACTTTACCAAATAAGGTATGAGACAATTATATAGGGACATCTCAATATGCTAAAACGAGACATTAAAAGGGACGGAGGGAGTAGTAATCACGATGTCCTTAATTGTCATTTATCAAATTATCAGCCAATTGTAAACAACCATTTAACCCAACATCATTTTACAAAACGCTAATACTATCGACCGATAAAAACAGCCAACGGAATCTGCTATTATCAATCAGTTTAAAGAATCAGCCAACCGCCATCAGCTAACCGCCAATTGCCAAACACCCCCTATGTCTAGGTGATCCCGTGATTCATTTTTTCAAAATAATTTGAGACAATATTACAAAAAAATACAAGATTGACAAAGATTTTTGACAGAGATTTCTCAAAATTGGTAATGATTTTGGAAACGATATATGCGAAATTCATATTAAAAACACTTTGGCGCGAGCTATTTGACACAAAATTATTGGTAAATTGGTGTCAAATTCGTGTCCATCCTGAATAAACTTTACGTACGTACGAAGTACAAGTATTAGTTACTTCAAGCATGCTATTGAAATTATGTCGGTATGCCACATTACTATTGGCTTAAGAATAAAGTCCTATTATACTTAGTAATAGAACAACTTATGGAATCATTGGTAGGGTGTTAGAATATTGTTAGCCTATGATAAAAGAAGTTATAGGTTGGGTCCTGGGACTAAGACTTGAATGTTGTTGTTGTATGATAAAAAAGGTTAAAGATCGCATATTTTAAAAAGGTTCGAAAAAGTAGAAACAAAATCATTTTTATAGAAACTAATGTCTCCCAATTTCTCAAAATCTATTTTTCACTACAAAAAAATTACGTGATTCACACAGATATGACATGAATTTATCGATAATTTTGTGCCAAATAGCTCGAGCCAAACTACTTTTGGCACAAATTTAGCATATCTCAACCAAAATCCATGCAAATTTTGGGGAATTTATGCCAAAAATATCTGTTAATCCCGCCTTTCTTTGTAGAGTTAAAGAGTTATTTAGAGTACTCAGAACTAGTTATGCACTTTCACCCAAAGAATACAATATTAATTAAAAAGCCTATCCAAATACCCTCTTTTAGGAGTTCAAGCCGTTAGATTAAGCTTTCCAAACATTCCTAGACTACGGCGTACGAGTGGGTGATCGACAGATGATAATGCTTAGAACTCCGCTTCTAATTTAAGAATGTTTTTTTAGGGAATACGAAGTGTGTGTTTGGGAGTGGGAGTGGGAGTGTGAAGCTAAGAGGGAGCAGGATTTGCCCAAGGTCGATTTTTGTCCTCCCTATATATACGGTGACATCAAATGGAAATTCTAAGCAAAAATATACATGGGCATATTTTCGAAATATTGGGGTTTTTAGTTTATGAAAAAATGGAAAATATATCTATTTTGGTATTGACATTCAAAAGGATTGGAAATGAAAACGTCATTATAAGAAAAACATGTTGATGTTATTTATGTGATTCACATATACTTTCATAGCGTAACTCAGAGACAATTAATAAATTAACATCACAAATTAGTTGTAAAAGGAAGTAACTTTTTGAAACAATTAGAAGAGTGAAGTTACAATGTTATAAGAACTGAGTTGGAATATAATAATTCTTCAATGATGTCCTTGGACCTACGTTTAAATAAAAGTAGTTAGTTTTTAATCTCAAAAACAAGTAATTTTTTCTTTCAATCCTATTTTACTCACTAATACACGTTCGTCTCTTGAGCACAACTGCACAATAAGACAAGTCCATGTTTTTTGCATGTTCTTGTTATCAATTTCCTCGTTTTCCATCCCAATTAGCCTCTACATTTTTTTGCCCAATGCATATTTACATTTTCTTTTTGCACGCCATACAAAATTTTCTTATTTACATTTTCTTTTTTAACGGCATCCATAGATGATACTACCTCCATCCCATAAATCTTGGCTAATATTTTTTTGGACTATCTAAAAAACTTTGTCATTTTCATTTATAGTACAGAGTAATCAATATGGGCTAAAACAATTTCTATCTCTTCTGCATAAATTTCAATTACACAGTTTTTACTTTATTAAAAAAAAGGATGACACCCCATCTCTGAGGGCCCCCCAACACCAACCGGACGACACGATGGGAGGATGTAAATTGGACTATAATCACAATCTGACAGATAGAGAGTGAGACTCTGTCCCCGGTACTTGCAGAGGCCCTATGCATTTTCAATTTTTACTTTATTATTTTACATACAAGTCAATTTCGGCCAAGTCAGCTTGTGGTATAAAAAATGACCTACGGAGTATGTTATTATGCTAATATCATTTCTTAACTTAGTTTGTCATCATTGTGTGACAGTTATTTACATTCAAGGGATTATAAAACTTTATTCTAAATCAAACTTGTGTTAAACTGATGTTTAGTTAAGATTAATCAGCAGTGTGAATCAGTGAATGTATGATAAATGTGTTACGAAAATTTATACTGTGTAATTGATATAATACTCCGTATTTAATAATGAATGATGGCGCTAGCTGCTATCATTTGTTTATATGTAGATTGTACGTTGATCATACATGCTTATGCTTCGTATATACGTAGTATTTATCGAGAAATCATGATAGTATTTTAGTTATCTACAGCTTTGCTGTGAAACTCTTGGGTAAAATTGAGTTGATCCTTGGAATAGGACACAAAGAAGAAAGCGGGCAATTACACTAACAAATTGAAATACGTAGTATACGAAGTACGGAGTATATCATTACACTAATCAGAAAATGTATGTTAGAGTTTTATAAGGGGTATATCTAAAATATTATTAAAAAAAGAGATATGGACAAAAAGGGACCTTTTTCCCATATTCCAAATATGAGACTAAAAAAGGATTAGGAGACTATTATACCCCCATTAGTGCTACAGTAACGTCACAGTGACACCACAGTGACCAAAATACAGCAGTGACCGAAATAAAAAATCTATACGTGACCAAAAACTTCGCCCAGTGACCAACGTCCACTCATCCAGTGACCAACATCCACCCGCCCAATGACCAACGTCCACCCGTCAAGTGACAGTTACACGATCCGTCCAATTACAGTTACCCGACTGTCTAGTTACAGTTACCCCGCCGTCCAGTTACCGTTACCCCATCGTCCAGTTACAGTTATCCCACCCAACCAGTCACCCGACCTGATTAGTTACAGGTACTTGACCTGACCAGTTACAGTTAACCGATCATTGCCGAGAACCACCTCCGGTCATCGCCCGCTGCCAGCACATCCAGCCACCGCCAGCAACCCTTATTTCTGGCCACCGCCGTCGACTACCAGTGCAGGTGATTTGCCGCCGCCCTCAGATAGACCAACTGTAACACCCCGGCCCCGCAGGCTCCGAGGTAGTTACTCCAACATACCCTGCGGGGCCGGGGTGTTACAGGTGGTATTAGAGCAACCCCGCGACAGTGTACTGACCCGTCGGATATCGGGCGGGCACTTAACGGGGGAAGATTCTGGGATTTGATTGAGATTTGATATTGATCCGGAGTAACTACCTCAGGTCCTGTGGGCGGCAAATTATATCGTACACCCGGATGTACGGTTCTCACTGTACATCCGGGTATTTTTGTAATTGTTTCTGATTTGCTCGCTATAGTTCGTATGAGTCAACTATGCATATGCTCTCTTCCGTTTAATTATGACTCTTTTTTATGTTCTCTTCCATCTTTGACTTTTCTTTTTGCTTTTTACGTAGTTTTTTTTTTGTTTTGTACTTGTAATGGTTTGTGATTTAGGTAATTCTTTTCCATGGATTTTAGTTATGATGTATATTTAAGGTATAAATGTTTTCTTTTTTTATTTTTAGTTTAAGATGAATATTTATTAGTTTATTAAATATTTAAGGTGTTAATGTTTTATTTTTTAATATTAGTTTAAGATGAATATTTTATTACTACTTCCGTCCCGCTATGATTGGCTCATTTTACCTCATCGGTCCGTCTCATTAAGATTGTGTCATACCAAATTTGGTAAAGTTTCTGTGGCTCTAAATCGTTTTTACTTTATTCTTAGTTTATCAATTCAATATTAATCACATAAATCACTTTTTATTGATTTGCGTGTCACTCCCTCTCGTCTCATTGTTAGTTATAAATGCTCAATTTATACTCATTTATGCACATTTTTAAAATGTCATATCAATGCATGTTTCAAAAGAATTTGATTAATTATATTTTTTAGTTATGTGTATTGATTCGGTACCGGTGTTATGTTCATTTTAAAATTTTATATCAATACAGACGAAACTCATGCGATCAGATTGGAGCTTGCTCACATAATTTTAATGCTCGATAATAGAAAACACAATACTTTTCTTTTGTCTTTTCCTTTTCTTCTTTTCGTTTATTTTGTTATTGTTGTTGTTGTTGTTTTCTTCTTTCTTTTTT